CAGCAGCATCAACATCCCCTGAGAACTTTTAGAAATGCAAATTCTCAGGCCTTCCCCCACGTCTACTGAATCTGAACCTCTGGGGCTGGGGCTCAGCTACTTGTGTTTTAACAAATCTTCCAGGTGATTGTGTCTGATGCACAAATTTGAGAAACACTATTCTAAAGAATGACTAGTATACTTGTAGGTCTTAGATTGAATATTAGTACTTTGAGTGCTTATTTTATTGAGGAAAAAATATCCTACTGGAAATTTACAGCATAAATATTATAGAAGAACAGTTAAGGTGGTAAACCAAGGCTGGGGTTCTCAGCCTCAGCATTTTTGACATTTTGGGCTGGAGATTTTTTGTTGCAGGCTGATCCTATGCATTGTAGGATGTTTAGCAGCTTCCCTAGCCTCTACCTACAAGATGCCAGTAGCACCTCTCCCAGGTGTAACAACCAAAAAAATATTTCTAGACACTGCCAAATATCCCCTTGGGGGCAATTAGCTCCATCTGAAACTGAGACCAATTTTGTCTTAATTTTGTTGATCAAGACAAAAATATAATTATTACAGATTAATTAATTTAGCAGACAGAGTCTTCCAGATTGTGCTCAGTTTTAGGAAGCAACAAACAAAATGAAGATCCCAGCCCACAGAGGATTACAGTCTTAGGCAAACACAAGTAAGTCCAAAGGTTAGTGTTGAAGTTAGTAGTGTCTGAATCTTAGGATATGTGGGGGTGGGGAGTGAAGAAAGAAATGAATGATCTTATGGAAGGCCTTGCATGCCATGGTGTAGAGATTGAACTTCATGGGGTGGTGGGAAGATATGGCATAAGCCACTGAAGGAGTTTTAGCAAGGGAGGGCAATGATCTGGTGTAGTGTTCAGAAAGACAAGGGTGACACTCTTCTTTCTTCTTTCCTGGTTTGCTTCAGTGTCCTCTCCTCTGCCAGTTCATCCTCCTCCTCCTGCTTTCACATGCTGAAGTTCATCCAGGCTCACTCCTGTATAGACATACATAATGAGTGTGATGTGCACCGTCTGGAGGATGGACACGCTTGAAGCTCTGACTCGAGGGGGTAGGGGAGGCAAAGGCAATATACGTAACCTTAACATTTGTACCCCCATAATATGCTGAAATAAAAAAAAAAAGCAAAGCAAAGCAAAGGCATTGTAATAGCCTAGGTGAGAAATGAGAGTCTGAAGTGGGCCTTTACAGTGAAGAAGAGACTTTAAGGAGTGGTGTATGGATTAGGGTTCTTTGGGCATAAGCCACACTGAGGACGCTGGCTTGCATAAGCAAAATAGGAATTTACTGAAAGGATAAAGGGAAATTCAAATTACTAAAGGACAGCCTAACAGCTAGCCCAGAGAAGAAAAGTCAGGCCAGCACTTCAGGTGGAGAGAGCAGAAACTAAGTGATCTCTTTAGGGCACCATCAAAATAAGTCAGCTTCAATCATTTTTCAGCTCTTATGTTATTTCTCAAGATCTTAGGTCCTGGGAGAAGATCTGATTGGTGTGTACTGGTTTCCTGGCAGTCCCAACAAGAATACATGCTGGGAATGGATAGTTTCCCAAAGGAAAAGGAGAATGCAGTTGATAAAAGAAGAGGAAAGGAATGATGGCTGGCCAAATACACAGATACCCACCTTGGGAACATCAACAGAGAGGACAAAGGGCGTGAATAGGAGCCAAGGCTCAATCCCAAGTGCATAACTTGGTGCATCGTGGTGCAGTTAATCAAGTTGGGGGTAGGGGAAGAGGGGCACACTCTAGGGGAAGGTGAGTTTGGTTTGTCTTCTAATTAGTGAATCTGCAGTATGGGGCTAGATGGCAGGATTTAGATATTTGGATGTGGTCAACCTCTCCACAAGAGAGAAAACCATAGGCATGAATGTGACAACTTAGGGACAGGGTAGTTGGTGAAGAAAGAAAAGAACCATTTATGCAATGCTAGGGAGTAGTAAAAATTAAGAAGCAGATAAAGGGAGCAAAGCTAGGCAGGCGAGTGATATATTTAACGAGGCACATTGGCCTACTGAGAAATCAGCTGTCCCATGTTTTCATTTTGTTTTGAGAAAAGAAGGTAAGGCAATTTTCCCAGCCTCTTCTGGGGAAAGTTGCATGTGCTATGGTGGTCAGCGCTATCCTCTACCTCCAGGTGGGGGAGCTAACAGGCTTCTTATGTACTTCAGAGCTTAAAGGAAAAGTTGCCAGGTAGGGGAGACTCACCTGTAAAGTCTGAGTCCAAAGAGAGGTAAATAAAATAGGTGTATCAGAAATCTAACACCTGGGAGCTTGCTAGAAATGCCCCACTCCATGCCAATGAATGAGAATCTTCATTCTAAGATCCCCAGGAGATGTGCACACACATTGAAGTATGAAGAACACTGTCCTAAGGAGGGATAGTATGAAATTTGTGGGTTTTGAGTGTTGAAGAGAAGGGTGGCTTAACTCATCAAGCCTGGAGGACTTGAAGCAAAGAGCACGGCAAGTTCATGGTGAAAAAGAGACGGGCCCCGGGCCTTACAATTGCAGCACCTGGTGGGCACTAATGGGGACCGGATACCGACCTCACTGAGTGGGCCTGTGGGTGAGCTCAGCACCAAGGGAGCAGAGGCTCCTGCTCTGAAAGGGACCACACTTGCCTGCAAGGAGCAAGCAGCAGAGGCTACCGTGGCATGCATAAACCATCAGACCTGGCAATTAGGTCACACACAGTTTCTAATGAGTAAGGAGGCAGAAACCATACTATAATAGTTGAATAGCAAATGGAAGATGAGAGAATGTACCCGATGAGCAGAGAGTAAGAAATCTAGAAGCTCAAATACCAACTGAATGAGGTAGGGGTGACAGCCAGCTAAAGAGGGAAGGAAGGACAAGGTATGTTTGTTTCATTTTGTTTGCAGTGGGCACATTAAATACTTAGGGGAAGAAATCAGTGAGCAGAAGGAGGTTGGAGATACATGAAAGATGTTAATCGATAAGGTGGGAAAGCATAGAGCAGTATTTAGAAGGTAGCATCAACAAGGCTTTGTGACTGACTAGACTTGTGCAGGTATGAGGAGGAGTTGTTCGTTTCCCCAGTGTTTTTGACTCCGAGGGAGCCAGGGTGGAGGAACAAATACTATTGCAAGGGTTTGGTTCTGAGTTGGATTAGAATTAAGGAAGATTTGGGTAATATCTATTTTTAATGTTCAAGAAACATAACATTTTTATTAAAGTATTGCATCCTAAAACAAGTTCTGGCCATCCCTAGAAAAGGAAGAAGTGTAGTAGGAAAGTACTAAAGAGTAGTACTAAAGTACTTAGAGTCAGAACTCCTAGATTTCCAGCCTCTAATATGACGTTAGGAGAGTTACTTACCACGTCTGAGCTGCATCTCCCCAATGTGTATAAATGGGATGAAAACAGTGGCGTACCACAGGTGGGTGGAGGGAGTGGTCTGCCCTGGTGCAGTTGATAAGAGTGTGCACTATTTGTAGAGAATTTTAAAACAATAAAACTGACTAAAAATCAGTTTTTTTTATTATGACCAAGTGCTGACAATTCTAAGCAATGTCAGTGAATTAAAAATACTCCCCATCCGTGGTAGCTATGGAATAATAATATAATAATGTGCATTTCAGAGTGTACTTCATGAAGGGAGAGGATATGCAAGTGGCACAGTATAAAATGACATGAAATGTAACTTTTAAACAATGTACTTTTATTTCAAATTAGTGTGATGTGAAATTTGGGGAGAAAATAAAGATGCTTTCTGTTTTTTTAAAGAAGTATAGCAAATCTCCTAATCTGTAGAAAATTATTTGGTCATAATCAGTAATAATGTCATTTTGGGAAGGTAAGTGATTTCCTTTACTACAGAATTCTATAAAGAATGAGTGAAAACATCTTAATTGTTTTTGTGTAATAGAGAAATCAAAAACATTAACTTTATAGGATTCCTTCTGGTCAGGTAATTAATCAGACCTAGTAACTGGGTCTATGTAGACTTGCTAGGTCACAAAGCCAGTTAAAATCAATTAATTCAGTTTCTGTATGCTCAGAAATAAAATACTATTATCTATAATCACAAAAATCTATTGAATTCTCTGAGAATATCACATTTTAAAAGCATTAAAAAATATTTTAATGCTTCAACTTATGATGACTGATAATGATCAAATATTATTTTTAAAAGGCCTTTTTATAAGGCCAGGCACAGTGGCTCATGCCTGTAAACCTTGGGAGGCTCACTTGAGGCTAGAAGTTTGAGACCAACCTGGGTAACACAGAGAGACCATCTCTATAAAAAATAGAGCCAGGCATGGTGGCACATTCCTGTTGTCCTAGCTACTGAGAAGATTGAGGCAAGAGGATCACTTGAGCCCAGGAGTTCAAGGCTGCAGTGAGCTATGATTGTGCCACTGCACTCCAGCCTGGGCAACAAAGTGAGACCCTGTCTCACACACACACACAAAGGCTCCACAGATAAGTGTTAACTAGCAAGAATGCCAATAGTAAACATTTCTTTCATGTTTTAATTCTACCTAGCATGTAGTTGATAGAGTATGAGACTAATTCCATTGAAATATTTCATTGATTAATTTCTACCATTTCTACCATGTACCTATATTTTAATAATGCAATAAACAATACCTTTTATAAAAGCTTTAAACATATAGCAAAAGCTTGATTACTAGTTGGTCCTCTCAGCATCAGTTTATGATACTTCAATACCTGTAGGTGCAGGAGCTGGGCTTTGCAGCACAGAGATATCCCAGCAACCCCAGCAACAGCTATATAACTATTCCTACTCAAAAAAGCTGAGCTGATCTCAGGCTATTAAGTGTTAAGTACTCGGTAATAATCTATCACCTTTACATGCTGCTTATAGAGAGGGCATTGTTTTACTCAAAGACTGAAAGACTAAATTAATGAGCTTGTAATTCATTGTTGTGAGGGCTAAAATATCACAGTAATTACCAGAGCAAAATTTAAAAGTAACTATGTTTTTAAAAATAAAAAAAAGTAACTATGTTTTAATTTTACCTGATACATTAATCACTAGAAAAACATTCTGAATTCTGAATTTTGTGACATTTATAGCAATATACATTTGCAAATATGAGGTATAGTGACTTTATATTTAGCCACAGTGTACTATTTTAGAAAAATGCAAATTAGCTTATGTGTATAATTTGGATATTGGTTTTCACATAATTTAGAGAAAACATCACTATGGACAATCATTACTTTAAAAAACAGCCCTTAAACGTCATGGAAGAAGTCACTTGAGAAGAAACCCGTCCCTCAGTGGATCGTCATCTTCAACTGTAAAGCTTGCTGTGCCCGTGTAATGCGCTTGTCCTGATACTTCCACTGTGACAGCTTGGAAATCACCGCATTTTGCTTCCTACAAAAAGAAGACGAAAGGAGTATACTATAAAAATATTGCACTCATATTGTATCTGGCCTAAAAGTTGTACTCTTGATTTTTATCATATTATTAATAGTAATCTTGACTTTTGTCATTAGCCCCAAAGTTAATCCTACAGGCCAGGGACATAAGGAGAGTGACATGGTCAGACTTGTGTTTTAGATACATTAGCTGCAAAGTGATGGATGAATTGGAGAGGAGACAGACTAGAGACCTAAACATCGGTTAAGAGATAAACTCAATTCACTGATTGAATACAGAGTCACTAAGGTAGTTTTTAGTGAAGACAGAGAGGAACATAATGTAGAGATTACCCTGGAGGCAGAATTGACAGACCTATTGACCAACATATGTGGGAACTGAGAAATAGGAATAAGTTAAATATGACCACAGTTTCTAGCTTGGAAGTGATGCTAGTGATGCCATTAACCAAGATGGGGAATGAGAGAGTAGGCATATGCTGTAGGAAGGAAGAACTTTTTAACAAGGCAAGTATGAGATACCTCTGGGACAATCATTTAGAGATGAGTATAGCGAGCAGCTGGGACCAAGAGTGGTAGATTCAGGAGGAAATACAGATTAGGCATGGTAGGGATGGGGGTTAGGGAGCCATCAGCAGCAGATGGTTGAGAATGGAAGACTAGGAAATGGATGGAACTGCCCAGTGGCATCAAACGGTAGATGAGATGAGAAGGAAGCTAAGAGTGAAATGATGGGGACACCTAAATGGAAGGACAGGGAAAGGAAGCCGGGGCACGTAAAGAGACAGAGCACCACCCAGCTATATTAAGATAATTTGCTATGTTAAAGGACCCTTTATGAGTAGATTCATTTAATAAATGTAGATTAATCATTCTACAATAGATTTTATTTACTACTATTGAGTAGATTCATTAATTAGCTTTTTTAGCACATTTAAAATTTTGTTCCACTACAAAATGCTGTCCACAACTTTTCAGGACTTCCACATCCTATTACATAACATGAAACACTACTATGGGATAAAATAAGACAAAAATAAAAAAACCCCTGAAATCCTAATTTAGTGGTTCTCAAACCTTTTGGTCTCAGGACTCCTTTATATCTTAAGATTTGAGGACCCCAAAGAGTTTTTGTTTGTGTATTATCTTTCAATATTTGCTGTATTGGGAATTAAAGATATTAGTTCATTACTTCATTTAAGAAAATAATAAACCCGCTACATGTTACAATATAAATAACCTATTTTTGTGAAAATAACTATTTGCCAAAACAAAAAACATTTAATGAAAAAAGTGGCATTGTTTTACATTTTTGCAAACTTCTATCATGTCTGGCTTAACAGAAGACAGCTAGATTCTCATATCTGCTTCTGCATTCAACTGGTTGGGATATCACACATCATTTAGCTTCTGCAGAGCTCCACTGTACACTCTTGAGAGGATGAGAGTGAAAAATAACGTCTTAGTATTATGAACATAGTTTTGACCTTTGGGCCCATGGAAAGGACCTTAGGCACCTTCCTGAGTCCCAAGACTGAACTTTGAGAACCAATGTCCTAGCTGAAAAGAAGTTTTTACAGGCTTGCTTTAAAATTCTCTTCTGAGAGCCAAGTGAAGAAACTTATCAAACACCCAACTCAGGCCTCTTCAGTCCCATAAGGAACACGTTTATGAATAAGAATCTAAGGGTGTCACTCACCCTCACGGCTTTTCCTGTGAATACTGAGCCAGTTGCACTGCTTTTAAAGGCTCTAGTCTGGTTCAGTTCTAGAAGCCCTTTGTGATACTGTAAGGCAATTCGGGCTGTCACTCCTGAACCGGTAGGACTTCTGTCAACCTGTTTCAAAATAAATGAAGACAAGAATGTTCAGTGTTTTGGTTCCATATTCTGGCTTTTATGCCTTAAAGTTACAGTTTTAATACCTGTTCATCTGCAAACACACAGATGTTGGTGGTTGGTTCCTCGCTGTATGCATCTTTTCCATCTGTTACTATGGTTCCGTATAGAAAGGCAAGGTCTTCGCTATCAGGATGATTAATTTTAAACTGCAAATAACACCAAAAATTATCTACCACATGGAAAATAAATATTTTGATTCAAATTTATTTTTATAGATAATGTAGATGGGGCACTCTCAGATGTAACTTTTGAATCTTTACCATTTTTGAAATACCTTTTAGGGTAAGGAACTAAATGCTAGAAAGTATGTCTTTGTCTAGATGAATAAACATAGTTTTATTGGAAGTTATGATTCTTATCATTTGAATCCCTTCTAAGGCTGTTGCCCTGCACATAGACTCTACTAAGGAATAGTCCTATTTTATGCACACCCCACCCCTCAAGCACACATACACGCTCTTTGAAGCACTGACGCCAGGATGGTCAACCCACAGGCTGGCCATGGCTGCTCCAACAGGATGAGCTAAGGCAATCATATTCTCATGCTCAGGAGCTTGAAGGGGTTAACCTGGATAAATTAGGCAATGAGTACCTAGAACTGAAGTTAATAAGTGACAGAGACAAGGACTATGAGAAGACATGAGTAAGCAAGTGTTCTAAGGATGCAGAAGCTGCTAGGTAAGAGAAACAATTGGACAGAAAGATTTATTGTAGAGGATGAAGTCAGCTGGTTCTATGAAAAGCAGCGGATACACACAGAGGCTGGCCCTGGCAGGGTAGCTAAATCCCTCAGAGGTACATTCAGGCCCAAATATGCAATACTTCCTTTTGTTCTTGGAAGGTCTAGTTGTTTAACTTTTCCTGGATTTCTGTGATGTCTGATAGTGTGACACAGATTGCTACTCTCTTACTTCCCTGTGTATTTGAACAATTAGTACATTCCATTTGCACTTACCTGTCATTTAAAGCAATTGATAGAATTGGGTTCTTAAAATCCAAAGAGTCCATCTAAAGCTGAGTTAAAGAGGCCTGCAGATTGGATCTTTGTTTTCCATCCTCTTAAAGCCCCTATGCCCCACGCCTGCTTCAGCACAATTCCAGCATAACACTGTTCACAGCTATGCCCACCGCCCCACTAAAGCAAGATCCTTGAAGGTGGGTTTTTTTTTTTTTTTGAGTCTCTGCAATGTAGCATAATGACTGACGTACAATGTGTTCTTGAGAAATATTTGTTTATGTCTTGTGAAAGAATGAAGATGAATTTATATCAACTTTAGCCCCCACCAAAAGGCCTTTCACTAAATCCGCTTTAGTAGTACAAATGGTCAGCAGTAGATGAAGTAGTTGTACTGTCTGGTACATCAATAATAGAACTCATCCTCATTTTTCTCAGAATCCCCTCTTCCTCAAAGTCCACCCCTTGCCACTTTGTTGAGAAGTGCAAGCTCGAATGAGAAGTTCAAAATTACTTCTTTTATTAAAAAACCATGACTTTATCTGTTGAGTTCATTAAAAGTCAGGAGAAATTATTTTGTACCTAATAAAATAACTCAAACTATTATATGTCTACTTAATAGAAAATTGATATAAATCCAAGCTTCAGAAGTTACTGTGATAACATAATTCCACATATTAGTATTGACAGTTCCAGAAAAATAATTTAGAACAGTGATATAGTATATATTTTTCATTTGGTTATTTAAATTATAAATTATGTTAAAGCCTCAGGGGGGTTCAATAGGCCCCTAATAATTATTAGTACAAGTATATTAGACACTATCTTTCATATGTTATTTTTTTTACTACTACCAATGATTAAATTCTCATTTACTAAATATTCAAATACTGTACTTGTATTTTATTTATAGGTCCCAATTTTAAGGTAAAAAATGGCAGACTAAACCGATTTTATCAGGATAGCTGTCCCAAACCAAAACCAGAGTTACTTGAGTAGTTATTTGAGTAACTTCTTAGCAAAATAGGAAAGGATTCACTAATTAGGAATTAATGTTCTCTGTGAATAAGAGAAAGTCTTATAAGACTTAATGAAATCTATTCTGTAAGCTATATTTTACATTCATTATCTTCAAGTTTTACAGAATGACCACATATAGCAAAGCACATGTATCTTAAATTAGTGGAATTCTATATATTTACTATACATTTAAATAACCACAAACTATATTAGTATACAATAATTAAAATTAATAATTATGATTTATTGAATATTATGGACCAGACACCATTCTAAGTCTTTTACATGTACTGACTTATTTCATTCTTAGAATCCTACAAAGCAGGTGTTTCATAATTTCCATTTTGCAGATAGGAAAACTGAGGCACATGGAGGTCATGTAACTTACCCAAGGTTATGAACATTACAAGTGGCAAAGCTAGAACTCATAGGTAGTTTTGCTCTAGAGCCTAAGATTTTAACCAGTACTCTATTCAGACGTACTAATAATAATTTAAATATTAGATATTAGATATTTAATTTTCTTTACAGACATAATAATTTCTATTTTGTCCGAGAACATTTTTTATGAAGGCAGAAATTGCACTGACCTGAGCTTTCACTGCTTTTGTCACTGAACTTGCTGCATCTACAAGGTCCCTTGTCTTTGCAGAACAAACATCAAGTCCTAACTTTTCAGCACTAACAAATGCATAAAATGCTCCACCATATGCGATGTCCACCACCACCTTTCCATGTCCAGGAACATCTACCACGAGATCTAAAAAAGATGTGTTTGGAAATAAGATGTGTTTGTTAATAAATATTTTAGTGACAAAATTTACAGCATTTTTAATATATTTCCAGTGGAGGGGGGGTTTGTTCTCTTCCTATCATAAATGAAGGATAAATGAATGGAATGAAGCAAAAAAATCAACTTTTAAAATGAGTAAGCATTAGGTAAGTAATAGCTAGGTGCATCTGTTTTTAATTTGATGTTTACATACATTATAATACTGAATGCCATGTTTTCCCCAACTCATGCATATGCATTTGTCAACTACTCTGAGCAGCTTTTCTAAGAAACATTGTTTCTAGGAAACATGAGGCAGAGAGAGGGAAACCCCTGGGACATCCCTGTGAAAACTATGAAGGAAAATGTAGGTACCTGCTTATCCTATTAGTTTAAAATAGTGAGGATTTTGGATCCTATTCACAAGTTGGTTTTCTTCAGCTGTAACGTCAAGACAAAATTTTTTTAAAAAGATTTTTCCATATAAATTATATACACTTAATCATCTACATATTTTCATCTTATTAAAGTATCCCGCAAATACTCAGAATAAAGGCACTGTAGGATTACTATCCTCTACAGTAGTATCATTTAGCATATCTGAGCATTTGAAGTCCCTGACACACCCAAAGGTTCACTTGAAGGTCAGTTGTCTGATACCCTGAATAGGTGTTTCCAAAGAAATGCAACTGGGTGATATTTTGGGACATTAAACTGTTTACCCCTGCTCGAATTTTCCTCTCTTCCTCCTCCCCAATTCAAGCTGGCTGTGATCACTGCCTCTGGGGGAAGCTCATGATAGGGGAGAAAGCAAGCCTTTCCGTTTTTGTTTTATGGAAATCGAATCTCTCAGGGGAAAGGCATTTGTTGGCAAAGGAGGACCCTGAAGGGAGGAATAGAGAGAGAAATTTCCTCTGGCCTGAGAAGAGAAGAGGCTGACGGTCCTGAACGCAGAGGACCTGTGTTGACTTCCCCACTGCATCACGGGAAGGCCATGTGGTGAAACAGAGGCAGCAGACAAGGAGGGGGAGGCAGGGGCAGAGGGCAGGGGCTGCATAAAGTGGGGCAGGCGATGTTCTGCTTCAATGGTTAACAGTGCAAGCCGAGGACAGAAGGGCCCTCCTCTCCAAGTTCTTGGCACTTTTAAGAAACCTTTGTTCACACATATCAGGAAAGAGGACAGCAACATAGAAGGATGAGGCTCCCAGTCAACCAGAAGGACAGAGTGGGGTCTCAATTTCAGAAATCAAGTTGTTAAAAAGAAAATATTTCTTGTATTCCTGAGTTTTCACACCGAGTCATACAAAGATCCCAGTGTGCTATCAGTTCCAGACTAGTCTACAGAAGCCCTTTAACACGACGTATCAAACCAGAGCAAATCTACAACCAAGTAAAACATGCCTGTGGATCTTAACAGCAAAACTGAACCAGAAATGTCTATCTTGATGTTGGCGCAACATGAAAAGCAGGTTTAATGAAAGGAGAATGAAGAAGCAGATGGAAACGTGGGACTGCACAATGTGGAGAGCTAAGGCGGGTGTCCGTGTGAAGATTGCCACCTATCAGGAGACAGGGGTGGCAAGGCTGCGGCTCAGTCTGTCTACCCTCTTCTCTTGAGCGTACAACTGAGTGGGGAATTGGCCACCATTCTAGGGCCAGGGCAGAATGGGGAAGCTGGCTCAAGAGAAGTGATCACTGGGCATACGATCATTCCCTTGGCTGCCCTTTCTAGAATTTTGGGGTGGGCAGTTGGGTAGGGTGCTATATCTCACTGAGTTTTAGTTTCCTTTTCTTTAAAATGGACCAGATGTCCTTAAAAGTTACTTCTGTCCACTAATTCTCTGTGACCTTTTTTTTTTTTTTTGAGACAGAGTCTCACTCTGTTGCCCGGGCTAGAGTGCTGTGCCATCAGCCACCTCAAACTCCTGGGCTCAAGCGATCCTTCTGCCTCAGCCTCCCAAGTAGCTGGGACTACAGGCATGCGCCACCATGCGAGGCTAATTTTTTCTATATATTTTTAGTTGGCCAATCAATTTGTTTCTATTTTTAGTAGAGGCGGGGGTCTCACTCTTGCTTAGGCTGGTTTTGAACTCCTGACCTTGAGCAATCTTCCTGCCTCGGCCTCCCAGAGTGCTAGGATTACAGGAGTGAGCCACTGCGCCAGGCCTATATGACTATTTTTAATCATGAAATTACTAATATTAAAAATTAAGATACTTGCTTCACACAAGTATATCCTATGTGCCAAGTACTTTAAATAGCCCTTTAATTAATGACATTAGCTCCTTAATCACTACAGTTCTGAGAGGTAGGTACTGTATTATTTGCTATCCTCACATCATTCCCCAGAGTTATACACCAAATAAGTAGCAGAACTTGGAGTTAAACTCAGGACCAAGTGGGACTCCAAAGCCCAAACACTTTCTACTAAAATACACAACTGCTATCCAGAAGTCAACCCATGATCTAAGATTTTTCCTTTTCTTCCATATAGGCATATCACTGAAATTTCAATTTGATTTACTTTGCTCAAGATTGAGTGAGCACCCACCAGATGTCAATTACTCAGAGGTATGAGGATAAATAAAACAGTTTTGCCCTTCTTCCTTGTCCAACTGAACTTCAATGAACAAGAAAGACAAATTTTAAACTATGCTGTGTGAATGATGTGTAATACGTTAAATAGTTTTCCAGAAAATGAAAACACATCTCCATTATACTGCAAAAGGAATCTGATAAACCTGGGCTCAAGTCCTAGTTCTGTCACTTAGTGTGGCTTTAGTGTCCTCTTGTATAAAACTGCTATTTTTCTTAAAGGGTTGTTTTGAAAATTCCATGTGAAAATGTGTTGGGGAATTCCTGGCACAGACTAGGGATGCAGTAAATGTTAATATTAAAGCCAAAAGTTTAATTTCCAATGGGAATAGAGTTCTCAACAGAATCAGATATTTACATTTGTTAATCAGCATAATCTCCAAATTTCATTTAGTTACTTAACAAATAGTCAGTGAATACCTATTGTTCTAAGCACTTGGAGTACGGTGAATGAAATAGAGTTTCCATTTTAGTATGGTGGGGTGGAGATGAACTCAGCAACCCTCTGAGGTGGGTATAATGTCCTCATTTTACTGGCTGTGACACTGAGGCATGGATGCTCTTGAACGTGGTTACTGAGATGGGGAAGGGCAGAGAAGTGATCTTATAGACCACTGGCCTGCCTTTTATGCATTTTTCAAAGTAGAGAACACAGGATTTCATTTTCTTAATAACTCAAAGTGACCATTAATGCTAATTATTGTGCTGTCACACAGTGAGGCTGTCAGGAACTGTTGTGCTTGAGGGGTTGGCTGTCCCTGACCTAACCAACCCAGGAATACGATGTAGTTGGTGATCCTGCTGCCAGCTGTCAGTGCCCACTAAATCTGTAATGCTTCTCATCTGCTGCTGGAGTTGCTTAGGGGGAAATCAGGTAGCCATAAGCCAGATAAACTGTTGAGGTTTTTTAGACACAATCCTAAACATAAATTCTGTCTCCCTCAAATGCCCTCCCAATCCTGAGGTGATACCTTCTCTCCCTAAAGGAGAAAAATGGCATCAATTTCTCCAGAGGCATCCTTCCACAACTTGTGTGTTTCAGCTGCCTGAGGTTGTTCTAAGAGTGACAGTGCTTGTTCTACTACTGTGGCATTCATAATCAGGCTAATTTGCCCTTCTTTACATGATATACCATACTAGGATCTGTACTAGGGAACCCAGCAAAACCTTCTGATGGCTCTACATACCTAGAAACTCTTAATTAGAAATCCTATATATCCTGCAGTCTTTCCATCTTGAGGAATGTATTTTATATATTTTTAAGTATCTTGCATACTCTCATTTAATCCTAACGAAAAAACTCCATGAGGTAGATGAACATAGGCACAGAGAGGTTAAGTGATGTGCCTAAGGTTTCACAGCTTTAAGGGGTTGTCAGTATTTGATCACAGGCAATATCTGTTTCTGTTCTTAAAGAATAAATGTAACAACATCTATATCTGAACAATTTGTAAGTTGCTTAGTTCACTCATTCTCATTTTAATTCTTCCCAAAGAAATGGGGAAAATGAGGGGAAAAAAGACTGGGTTTAGTAAGTAATTAGGGGTAATAATGTGTCTTCCAAGCCAGCCTGGAATCCTGGTACACAGGCTGTTCTTCGCTCTTTCCTTGACCCTAGCTAGCATGCCTTGCTTTATCAGCTGTGAATTCTCTAGGAACCTCTGACCGGTGCAGAAGGCGGCGCTGAGTAAGGAAAACATGAATTCTTTACTCCTTAAGGCTCTGCCAAGACCACAAGCGAGAGATCTGCGGGATAATTGAATTGCATGCACCAAGCAAATACGCAAGGCTAAATATGCAGGCACATGTTCGCAGTGATTTATAATTACCTTTCGTTAATTGCAAGGGCATGCGGGGTGGTTAGTTGCGCCGTGCGGGTTCCAGCCCAGAGAGACTGCAAGTGTAGTTAGTTGCATCCCGGGCTGTTGCTCCGCCTGGGGCTGGAAGGGCCCCGCCCGTTACCTGTGGCCAGCACGAAGGCCGGGACGCTGTGGAAGCGCACAGGGCCACGGCTGCGGCCGCCCTCACACTCCACGAAGGCGGCCACCAGCCCGCACGGGCAGTGGATGTTGACGCGGGCCTCGCGGGTGCCGGCCGGGGGCGCGGGCACCAGTCCGAAGTCCAGAGCGAAGCGGCCGAGCGCCAGCACGGCGTGGCCGCACATGGAGCTGTAGCCCTCGTTGTGCAGGAACAGCACGCCCAGGTGTGCGTCCGGCAGCTCGCTCGGCACCAGGACGGCCCCATACATGTCCCGGTGCCCTCGGGGCTCGAACACGAGCCGTCGCCGCACATGGTCTAGGTGCTGGCGCATGTAGTGCCGCTTCGCCAGCAAGGTGGCCCCGGCCACCTCCGGACACCCCGCCAGCACGATGCGCAGGGGCTCACCGCCCGTGTGCATGTCCACCACCGACAGCACCGGCGTCCCCGGGTCATGCGGGGGCAGCCGGGGCACGGCCAGCGCGCACTCCATCGTCCGCGTCCTCGGACACAACCACCGTCCCGCAGCGCCCGCCTCAAGTCCACGTCCTGCCCTGGTTTTCCGCGGGAGAGGGCGGGGACGCCAGGCAGCCCCAGGAGGCGGGGCCTCGAAGCCTAGACCAGGAAGCGGGGGCGGGACTTCGGGGCTGTTGCCCGGGTTACTAGGAGGCGGAGTCGCTGGGAGCGCTGTGGCCCGGATGTCCGGACGCTGCGGCCGGATCCGCTGATCCCGGACCTTCTCTGGAGAAACGTACTGGCGGCCGATGGGTGAGTGGTCGCCGAGGTGCGAGAGATGCGCTTGTCTTAGTCCCCACTTCTTCCACACGCAGCCGACTCCGGGCTCGGCTCGGGGCGGGCGGCCTTCGGGTAGCGGCGCAGGCTCGTCCCTGCTCTCGCCCGCCCTCGGGCCGGGCTGGGATTCCTCCCGGGGTGGGTGGTCCCTGCTCCTGACAGGCTGCGGAGGGAAAGCGCGCAGTGCCTTTGTTGTGTTCGAAATGTCTCTTCAGCCCCTTTGTTTGATATGGAGGAAACGTATGCATCAGGGTTGACCTGAAAATTAAAAGCGCTGGCGATAGTGCAGAAAAACAGTAAAGGAAGCAAAGGCAAATCGCTGCATGACTTACTGTCTCCTGCTTCAACCTCAAGCTGAGTTTACAGGACTCATCACAAAGGGGCAAGACCGTTGCAAAAAAAAAAAAAAAAATCTTAACATTTTAGTTATCTTTCACTAAAGGAAATGAAAGAGAAAATTGAACAGACTCTTGGAGCCAGTATTTTCTTTGGCAGATGATGAGCTGTTGCTTTCAGGTTATCATAATGGTTTTCAGGCCTTTTTGAGAAACTTCAGATATTTACATTGAAATGTATTTATGAAGCATCTACTAGATCTGAAGCCCGTACAGGAGAGGCTTCCAATTCTTTAACCTCTGCCTTGTCGAAAAATCTGAAACAATTCATTTCTAAACTAATGTTTAGAAAAATTTGATTACAGTTGGTTAAAAGATAAGTGCCAGTTAAAGGAAAGAAGCCCATGCGTTTAAAAAATGAAGTCAGAAATTTGTTAATAGTGAAATATTAAACTTGAGCCATTTTAGTCAGTGCTATTTATATTTTTTCTTAGCAGCTTAACGAGAAAGAAATTAGGTCTACTTGAATTTGATTGTAGACCAGTCTCTATGTTGTGAATTCATGAAGAATTTGTGAAATGATTGTTCAAGAATAGTTACAAAATGCATAATTTTCCAAATTAATTCGCATTTAGACCATAGTTGTTTGGAGTTTATTCCACATTAGACTGTAGATCTTTAAAGGGCAGGGACTCTGTCATGTTTCTCTTTGTACCTCTGGCGGCCCCTAAACTGTGGAATCTGACACTCAATACATGTTTATTGAATGAATGAATCAATAAATGAAGGGGATCAGGTATCGCTGATGAAAAAAACTTTCAATAATTTCTCCCTGTGGATGAGGTCAATGACAATCTGTAGGTCCTGAGGTTTTTTTTTTTTTTTTTTTGTATCGCTGATGAAAAAAACTTTCAATAATTTCTCCCTGTGGATGAGGTCAATGACAATCTGTAGGTCCTGAGGTTTTTTTTTTTTTTTTTTGTAAAGAAGAGCTGCTTTTTCTTTTCTCCGAACCTTGAGATCAGGAAATTAATTCTAAGACAGTGGTTCCTAAATATTGGTCAGAAACCCTTGATGAAATTTTCACCTGCCCTCAACAGAAAATGCTAAAAGCTAGGACAGTAGAGGAGAATTTTTATAAAGCCGAATTTATTAACTCTAAAGGCTTGCCTTCTATTCTGAAATTATGTTCTTTATGCTTTTCTGGTGTGAGAATGTGTTCTTTTATGAACAAAGGTGATAATAGATTGTGTATGTACATGTATGTGCTTAATGTCCTGCGTGGGCAAGATAAAAGGTGATGAACTTCTATTGGTATAATAATTTAAAAAAAAATTTATTTTGGAACTTACAGCCAATGAAATTCAAAAGCCTAATCAAGGGGAATGGCTAGCTGGAGCCATTGGAGATATAATGCATTAAGCTTTGCATTCTGGGGATAAATTCTGCTCTGTTGGTTGAGGACTTTAATCATCAAGAACAGTAAAAACTCGAAATTTCCAGTATAGCTTTCTACAATGTCACAGTATAAAAAAGAGAAATTTAAATTTAAAAATAAGTGCTTCAAGATGTTTGTCTAATATATATCATTTTAACATTTGAAACTATATTGAGATATTTCTGCCAAGTGCTTCAGCTATTGTTGCATTATTTTTTTATAATCACAAAAGATGTTACTATACTGGCATTTGTTTTTAAAAAGCTGTCGATATTCAACCAGCATGCCTTGGACTTTACTGTGGGAAGACCCTATTATTTAAAAACAGCTCAACTGAAATATATGGAGAATGTGGGGTAAGTCTTAATGGTTTGTATTTCATTGTAAAATCTATTTGCTTTTGAAATATTTTCATGTGTAGAATCTTTTTTCTTATATACTCAGTAATTTATAAAAGAATATGAAGGCATTAATAAAAGACTTATATTACTGTATTGATGTCTATAATACATTGCATCTTTCTTGACAGTCACAATTATTAAGTATTTAAAAAAACATTTTATAATTTTATAGTAATTTCAAATTCCTTTTTTAATGATTTAGTATGATGACTTGTACAGTAAGTTAACATTACAAATACAGGACATTTCTCTGCAATTCTTCTTATATGATGTTAATAACTAGGTTTTTCATTGAATGTTAGTCAACTATTTTAGTAACTTAGTTAAAAAAAAGAAAGCTTTTAGAACACTGTACAGATATAGCACATACATTGTAGATTTCTTTTTATTTTACTTATGTATTTATGTTTTCTTTTGTTTATTTCTAAAAGTTACACACATAAATGTATAATCTGAAATGAAATGTCTTATAGAATGATTTTTGGGGGGTGTCAGTATTCTAAAATATTATCTGTACACAAAATATTGCCTTTCTGTATTGTAGGTGTGCCCTAGAGGACAAAGAACAAATGCACAGAAATATTGTCAGCCTTGCACAGAGACTCCAGAACTTTATGATTGGCTTTATCTTGGATTTATGGCTATGCTTCCTCTTGTTTTACATTGGTTCTTCATTGAATGGTACTCAGGGAAAAAGAGGTTAGCACATTCTATAAAAGTATCTGGATGGACTGATGTTGGAATAATTATAATTTAGAAGATCTTATCAAGTAATTATGCTTCTTCTGTTGTTTTGAAGGTGGTTAACCTGCTTTTCCTTTATATTCTGATCACTTTTTACTGTGACAAGAAAACTTAATGATAGGGCGTGCCTTAGTAATTATTAAGGGAACTATCCTTTGTCTGTTTTATTCTAAATGATCTTGAAGGAGTTGTTTTTTTTTAAATATCTCAACTATAATCCTTATTGATTTTCTACAAAAATATGGTTATGATTACAAGCTATTTGTTGTTATGGAACAAATATTTTATAATTTAATACTAATAATCTAGTATATTGTAGTTAAAATGATATAGCTGTAACCTAATTATGAAAACTAATACTAACACATTGAGTCAGCACACATCTATTGAGCACTGTTTCTTATGTTTGGAAGATTGGGGGAGGAGATACAAAAATAACTGACAGGGCTTATAGTCATAATGTTGTGGAGAAGACAAATATATACATCATTAATTATATCAGTCTTACAAGTAAAGTGGAAGAGTTACAAAGAAAATGCTCCGAATTGCAAAGAATTGAGAGATAATTGTTCCTGATGAGATCTGAAAGACTTCAAAAAAAATATTTTAGGCAGAGGAAGTAGCGTGATCAGTGGCATGGAGGTATGAAATATGTGATCTGGGGTGGGTAGGAAGGTACGTAGTCTGGAGTGGTCAAAGTGTGGGTTGCAAATAAAAGAAAGATAATATAAAGGAGAGTGGGAAAGGTAAGTTGAGGCCAGAGGAAAATGTTCTTGATCAGGATTTGAACTGTATTCTGTTTGGATCAGGGAGCCAAATTCTTCTTTAGTATGTTTTAGCCATACTGATTTTCTTTTGGTTCATCTAATTTCTCAGGATCTCTCCTGTTTCAGATCCTTTTCCTTTCTCCAAACTCTTTTTGCTGGCTGAATTTCTCTCTTCTTTATCTGACTGTACTTTTTACCCAGCTGCCTTCTTTCCTCCTAATTTTAGTTTAACTGTCACCTACTTAGAGAGGCCTTCCCCATCCCAATCTAAAGTAAGTCTGTTTCCCCTATTTTTGTTTTTTAATAGCTTTCCTGATTTTGTTGTTTTCTCTTTAGCACTTTACATTCCCTTCACCCCTGACTATAAGCTCCACGCAGGCAGCGGCCATCTCTGTGGTTGTCCTCCATGGCATCTCCAGAGTTTTGCATAGCAGCTGGCACATGATAGATGCTTACTATTTGCAGAATGAATCATTTATTGGTAAAGGTTTTGGTGTCGGGAAGTAGCATCATTGGATGTATATTTTAGGAAGATAATTTCTGTGGAGGGTAGATTAGAGGTGAAATATATTAGAAGACTGTTGTCAAAGAAATAGTGATGGGCAGACAATGTAGTAGTGGGAGTGGAAATAGAAGGGGGATGGTCAGGTGGAACTAGAATCAGTAGTTTTCTGGATCCATCTAATAAAGCCAAGGAAGGCTTTATTTATGCTGGGAAGGCTTTCGTCATTTTTCAGAAGGATTTATGGAAAGGCTTTAAAATAGCAGCTCTCAGCATGCTTTTAATTTCTGTTATGAAATGATGAAAGATGAGGGTGAGAAAGGAGAGGTGATAAACTTAAAGCTAAAATGGAATATTTGCTCAGTTAATTGGCTGGAACTTCTCAGCACAGAATAGAGAAGAGTTAGGGAACATAGGGATGTACCTCACCAAATGCATTTGAATTGAAACATCAGATATGTTGTGGGGGAGAGAGTTGGAGCAGAGAATAGAGGTTGGTTTGAGGGTGGAACAGAGGAGTGGCTACTGCTCAGGCAGGAAGGGAGGTGGGTTTAAAAAGAGGGAGTTTGTACAACTATGCTTTGCCTTGGAAATTGGTAGCAAGGAACACAAGGGCCACTGGTTGCATTTTCTTGGGACATTGCACTTACAGTCAGGAATGATTTAGGCTGGGAGAATACTAACAAATGTTTATAAAACCTGGGGATAACCTCAAAGCTAAACTTGAAGGATACACAGATATGTGGAATGTGTTTTGAGGTGGAGGGCATGCATGCCCAAATGTGTGGAGCCACAAGGGAACTTAGTGATTTGGCATAGCCAGGAGATGTAGAAGATGATGCTGGCAAGGCATATTTTTCCAGAAAGGCAGAATAGACTTAGAAGTAGTTTAAGAAGGGGAGCTTTAGAATAACATTTCATTTTATAAAGATCATGTGGCTGATGGCAGATAGATTGAAAGAGAGCATGATGAGAAGAGACTAGTGAGAAGGTCACTGAAGTCATGGCAAGAAATAATGAGGTTGGGATTTTGCCTTTAAAAATATAAATTCTATAAGGTAGCAAAATATCAGATTACATATTATGAACATATAAATATTTATTTATGTATTCAATGTTTTCATCTTTGTAAAATGGCACAGGAGTTCTGCTTCCAACAATGTGAGCTAATTAGGAGCTCCAGGTGAGCCACCTGCATGAACAAACTAAAGTCTGGAAATGACTTATTATTTGAGAAGTTGCCAGTTCCACTGGAGGTAGGAGGGATTTCTAAGAACTATTCTCTGTCAAAAAACAAACAAACCTACCCTGAGGTGGATCAGAGTGACAAGGTAGGGAGTTGGGATGAGAGAGTTGCTTGAGGTTAATGGCTAATAGCAGCAGTGCTATCTGGATACTGAATCTTGGACAGCATGTGCTAAGCCTAGCCCTAGCCCTCAGGGGCCTGAAGCTCAGGCAGTGGTGGCCATGACTGCTTGGAGAAGCAGCAAATCTTTGCTAGAAAGCTTCCCCATTCTCAGTTTAGGCCTATGAGACTCTTGTTCATCAAGATCTAGTAATGACCTCATAGTCTGTGATTACTAAATAAGCAATATGACTTATTGATAGACACAACAAGCAATATATTTACACTCTCAAAGAACTACAGATAATGAACTTTCACCCATCAGAATATATAACTGCTACCCATAAAGAAATAAACGATATAGTCACAAAGCTGTCCAGTCTGTTTATTAGGAATAAACAGACAGATTTGCTAGGGGAAAAAAAGAAACTTTTAGAAATGAAAATTTATACTTGCCAAAATAAAAAATGGTAGTAAACAGATTAAACAGTTGAAAACAGAATTAGTGAACTAGAAAAAAACTACATATAAAGAAATAATGGCATGTAGCACTGAGAGAGAAGAAGATGAAAAATATGAAATATGTTAAGAGACACGGAGCATACACACTGGAATCCTCGTAGGTTTGATTCAACATTTAGACTTATGACTACCAAATCTCATGCTACTCAGAAGCAACTCAGGTTACCAGGAGGGCAGCATGACACATTACTTGTGAGCAATAGTTTTTGAAGCAGTTCAGCTCAGGTGGAAGGAGATGAGATCCACATTGGATGGGTGTGGGACTTGGCCAGCCTTAAAGTCTTATGCCCCAGAGGAGCCAGTCTCTCTTGTAACAACTCTAGAGTGTAGCTTCTGGGATCCTGGAAGGGACATGCATGCCAATTACAAGAATCACTGAACTCAGGAAAGCCAAACCACCGTGTCTTCATCAGGTATTCATAGTTCATTTATAGTTCTGTCCAGCCCAGATGTAATATACCAATCAGGGATCATTTCTATTAAGTGCAGTCTTGTCTAGCAATATAGTTGATATTCTATCCTTATCAGACTTCCAGAGGAAAAGAGCTAGAGAGTTAACTGAAGGTCAGATGCTCATGCACAGGGGAAAACTTTTAACTCTTTGCCCATAGTATCTAATCTCTGAAAAAAATAAAGCCAATGAAGGAGAGCTGACGTTTTAAAAGAATACTGGCTTCAGGTTTTACAAAAATAATGAGAAACAGATTCAAAGATCAAAGAAGCAAAACACATCCCAAGCAGAATAAATAGAAATTCACACCCATATGCATCATAATTAAACTTCAGAATACTAAAAAGAAAGGAGAGGCCATGCAGAAGAGGACCAGGGTGCTCTTGTCAACAGCCCTGGTTGCGCTCACAGCTGACAGCCAGTACTTACTATAGCCCATATGAGTTAGTCATTTTAAATTCTGCAGCATGGTTGAACCCCTAGTCAAGTGCATCCCAAGTTGACTTCATCTGGAGCAGAAAGGACTGCCCAGTTGAACCCATTCAAACCAGAAAATAGTGAGAAATAATCAGTGGTGGTTGTTTCAAGCCAATAAGTTTTGGGGTAGTTTGCTATGCAGTGATAGATAAGAGAACATTGAGTTGAAAACTCAAAAGCATCTATAGACTAGACATAAGAAATAATAAGAGTTTAATAAAGAGGTCAACTATAAGATAAATATCCAAAATCTATTACCGTCCTATATTCCATGTACAGTACTACAAATACTATCATGTGGCTCCAACCAGGATAGCTAAGCTACATTGGATTTATATTATACAAGTACTTGACAAGCTAATTTTAAAATTTATATGGAAGAGCAAAGCAAAGAATAGCCAAGACCACTGAAGAAGTAGAAGACTATATAATATCAAGAATTATTATATTATTCTTTTATCTCAGGAATAAATGAACTCAAGGAATAAAACGGGGAACCAAAAATCAGGCCAATTATGTATGTATGAAACTTTATAGGGCAGAAGTGACATGACAAATTAGTGAGGAGAAAGGAGTGCTTATTCAATAAAATGCTGCAGCTGGGACAATTGGCTATCCAAATGGGAAAATCTGAAGTAGATCCTACCTTACATTATACACAGAAATCCCTTCTAGGTGAGTTAAAGATAATTTTAAAAAGCAAAACCTTAAAACTTTTAGAAGAAAATACAGGATAATACTTTTTTTATCTTGGAATGGTGAAGGATTTTTAAAAACATTTAAATTGTTAAGCAGAAATAAAAAAATTAATAGAGCCAACTATATTAAAATCTAGCTGGGCACAATGGCTCATGCCTGTAATCCTAGCACTCTGGGAGGCTGAGGCGGGCATATTGCTTGAGGTCAGGAGTTCCAAACCAGCCTGAGTGAGATCCCGTCTCTACTGCAAATAGAAAGAAATTAATTGGCCAACTAATATATATAGAAAAAATTAGCCAGGCATAGTGGCACATGCCTGTAGTCCCAGCTACTTGGGAGGCTGAGGCAGGAGGATTGCTTGAGCCCAGGAGGATTGCTTGAGCCCAGGAGTTTGAGGTTGCTGTGAGCTAGGCTGACGCCACAGCACTCACTCTAGCCTGGGCAACAAAGCGAGGCTCTGTCTCAAAAAAAAAATAAAATAAATAAAATAAAATAAAATAAACTCTAGAACATGTTCATAAAAAGACATCACAAAGTAAAAATTCAGCCTACAAACTGAGAGGAAAACATTTGTAACACATTAAACTAACAGAGCAGAATGGTTAAACAAATCATGGTATGGTCAGTCATTCAGTGGAATCTTACACAGCAGTGAAAATGACTGAACCTCAGCCGTAAACAATGCTTTAGATCAGGGGTCCTCAAACTTTTTAAACAGGGGGCCAGTTCACTGTCTCTCAGTCCATTGAAGAGTGCGCACTGTGGTCCAGGACGAGTCGGCTGCTAAGTAGGACAGGCAGCTGTGGCAAAAACACCTGGATAAATGTTCTAGGCAGCCTCACCCGGATAAATGTTCTAGGCAGCCTGCATGTGGCCCGCGGGCTGTAGTTTGAGGACGCCTGCTTTAGATGAATCTTGAGTGGGTGAAAAAATCCCAGAAGACTTACATTAGTTTGATGTCATCTTACAGCATTCAAAAATGAACAAAACTAAACAATAGTTTTGAAGCATAAATACAATTGGAATTAAAACTATTTAGAAAAAGAGATAAAAGCAATTTAGTATATGGTTACCTCCAGGAGAGAGAGAGGTATGGAAGGGAGAAACAGAGAAGTAAATTATTGACATGCTCTAGTTATTGGGTTTGGTGAACTTATACTTTTTATATATTATTATACTTTATAACAAATATATATTACATATCATCTTTTGTATATTTTTTATATTTAAAATTTAACAATTTGGCAAGATACTAAAGATGTAAGGTAGATCTGATTTCTGCTCTTCTGTTGGATAATACTGGCTCAGTGTCATCTGGGATGATTATCCCTTTTTTGAAAATAAGTTTACACTTTTATGAGTAGTTCTTATATATGTTTGGCTTTTCTAATCTATTTAGAAGATTTTTTAGTTTCAAGATTTTTCAGTTACAATTTTTTTTTTAGAATCCATATCTTGAAACATATGCATGTTTTATTAAAGCCATTTAAAGATTTAAATTTTTCTGGTAATCGTGCCTCTGTTCTTTTGTTCCTCTAGTTCCAGTGCACTTTTCCAACACATCACTGCGTTATTTGAATGCAGTATGGCAGCTATTATCACCTTACTTGTGAGTGATCCAGTCGGAGTTCTTTATATCCGTTCCTGTAGAGTATTGATGCTTTCTGACTGGTACACGATGCTTTACAACCCAAGTCCGGATTACGTTACAACAGTGCACTGTACTCATGAAGCTGTCTATCCACTGTAAGTATTTATTTAGACTTGAGATCATTTTTTAAAAACTCTTAGGATTATTATAGATTTCATGGACTTTGGAGGCAAAAACAGGCTTAGGCTTGAAACCCAGGTTTGCCAGCTGCTGTTATCTTGAGCATGTTAACAGCGTCTTATAACCTCAGTTTTCCCATTGGTAAAATGGGTATAATGATACCTTATAAGATGTTGTGAGAGTTAAATGAATCCACACATCATCAGATACCTTGTGTAGTGCCTTACATATAGGAGGTACTTTGTAGTAGCTGGCATTTTTAGAGTGCTTGGGTTAGTGTTCTTTCTGGTTTTGTTTTTCTCAACTAAGTGTAATTTCTATCAGAATATTTTATTGTTAAAAATATCAAATTCATAAGATTCTGCATATTATTATCCCTGACTATTCCATTTTTAGAAATTCTGTAAGTTGTTGGTGTTCATTTTGATATGTTTTTCTTGTTAAAGGTGTAATAGAAAAGTCTGGTATTTATGTTCTCATAGTTGTAGCCAGTTTCTGTTACATAATATGCTCAATGAAATTAGTCCTTTTTGAGCAAGTTCATCATAGTAAAGCATCAAAAACTACATATGCATGCATATAAAAATGTAATTTTCAAAAAATAAGATCTAGATATAGAGATATTAAAATCTTCTTTTCCTCCTGCCAGCCATTAAGTCCTGCAATTATTTTTTATATGACTATAATTTATATATAAAAGACTGTATTAATGACTGATGGTGTCCTCTTTGTTGATTTGTTGATTCATAAAGCTATAATCCTCAGCTTCAATTACTCTATTGTCATACGCTGTCCTGGAGACCTATAGAACTTAAACTGGTCCTACCTATTAATAGAAAAGTTAAGTGAATTGGATATCATATTTAAATAAGTTATATAGTCATTTTTATAAGTTATATAGTCATTTTATGTAAAACAAAATCAAATTCATCTTTGGATAGTCACATTTATATTTATTGTAATATCTGTAAAGCCTATAGTAGGAGGGTAAAAAAATACATAAAATTAGAAGAGTGATATAGCAAATAGGTGCTCCCAGCCCTCATTCTCCACCCAGAATAGCCACGTATAATTTGTCATAGCACCTGTTCTTGCTAAGTTGGGTGTCACTTCAGAATCTTGTCACAGCACTCTTTGGTTAGTCAGAATCATCACACAACTTCATTGATTAGGACATTTTCTATCTATTCACTGAATTAAGTACTTCTTTTTTCTCAGCAATTTTACCAATAGTTGTTGTGGAATAGCTTGCCTGCCTTGTTTTATTAATTATACAAAATAATGACTTTTTAAAATTATGAGATATTATAGTATCTTACAGCATTGGGTTTATACATATTATTTACTTTATTTAAACATTCTAAACTTAAATATATGGCCAGACTGAGCTACCAAAAGTCAGTAATTGTTTTCTTTTGCAAGTCAACAAAAAGTAATGACACGAAATTACCAGAAATCTTTGGAATGCTATTACATTGACAAATTAAGTCTATTTTTCCTAGTGGCATATATAGCCTAGGTCCTTAAAAACTGAAAAATATCATGGTACTTTACTGATAATTAAAGTTTTGAGGGGAAACTGATGTGAATGAGGCATCAAAAACATGTAAGCTTCTATCATTATAACTTACTATGAATACAAAAAATAACTTTTACATTACTAAACTTTAAGAATGAGTTATTGAAAGTGAGAAGTTATTACTGTTGTATCAAAAATTAGCTTTAGCTTATTAGAGTTATCTTATTCCAGTGTGTAGGGGGGAATGGATTGAAAAGGGGGAAGGGTGGAAGATGAGGTCTTCTGGTGGAGGGAAGAGGTGCAGTGTGCTTTTTAAACTATTTTCTAAAAAGTTTTTTAAAAATTTGGCAACAGATCCTTGATTTAAAAATGATCAAAGATAAAAGCATTTTTAAAACATACTTTTGATGTTACAAATTCTTTATTCTATTTTACAGATACACCATTGTATTTATCTATTATGCATTCTGCCTGGTGTTAATGATGCTGCTCCGACCTCTGCTGGTGAAGAAGATTGCATGTGGGTTAGGGAAGTCGGATCGATTTAAAAGTATTTATGCTGCACTTTATTTCTTCCCAATTTTAACTGTGCTTCAGGCAGTTGGTGGAGGCCTTTTATGTAAGTTTGATAAGTAAAGTCAATAAAATGTATTTATTATTATATATAATAATATTTTCTCTGAATTTAACTTTGGAGTTTTTTTTTTAAAATAGTTTTTTTTTTGAGACAGAATCTCACTTTGTTGCCCAGGCTAGAGTGAGTGCCGTGGTGTCAGCCTGGCTCACAGCAACCTCAAACTCCTGGGCTCAAGTAATCCTCCTGCCTCAGCCTCCCAAGTAGCTGGGACTACAGGCATGTGCCACCATGCCCGGCTAATTTTTTCTATATATGTATTAGTTGGCCAATTAATTTCTTTCTATTTATAGTAGAGATGGGGTCTCGCTCTTGCTCAGGCTGGTTTCGAACTTCCTGACCTCGAGCAATCCGCCCGCCTCGGCCTCCCAGAGTGCTAGGATTACAGGCGTGAGCCACCGCGCCCGGCCCCTAAACACTGGTTTTTATTTGAAAGTATTTGAAAATTAGCCTTGATAATATATACTATTTATTATTAATTAGGATCTCAACTTTCTAAGTTCCTTTATAAAAACCTTTTAGATACAGTCAAAAAACTTCAAAATATCCTTTATTTTAATATAACTATTCAGTGACCATTTAGACTAAACTGTGACTCAAAAGAATAAGGAAAAATCACTGTTAAAAGGCTCACATACTACTAGAAGATAAAGCAGGCAAGCTATAAATAGCTGAGAAAACATAGTATGGTTTTTTTTAATATGTGACATTGAGTATTCCAAGAATGTTGGATACCATCCTTTATATGGAGCCTACGAGGGTGCAGAGGCTAAGTCTTCTGGCCCAAAGGAAGTGGGAAAGACTGGGTATCGTTATGCAAGTAATGTAGCTTGGTAATGAAATTTGCTAATATAGTTTGGAAATATAATTTCATTCAAGGTAAAGTTGGAGCTGAGGGTAAGGCCCAGGGAAATATTAGAGACTAGTCAGGGGTCTACTGTTCCCCATATTCTGTTTCATTTGGCTTCCACAGTATTAGAAAATCTATAGTTCCCTATAAAACTATAGGGAATCTATAGTTCGTTCCCTAGTTCCCTCTAGCTCCTACCATTCACTGGTTCCCTGTTAGATTTGGGCCACTTCAGTTATACATGCCAGGCTAGCCTCTGTAGGCATTTGAGGTTGCTATTCTTGCTCTAGGATCCTACTCTTAAAAGGATTTAGGCAGAAGAATGATATAAGTAGATTTGCATTGTAGAAACATAGCTTGATAGCTGTGGAAGATGGATTGGCGGTGGAAGAGAACTTGGGAATCAGTCAAGAGATGCTGCAATAAACCAAACCTGTTTGCCCTCCCTACGGTAGAGAAACACTGGGTATGAGGGGCTGTTTTAGAGGTGGAGTTAAGTAAGCTAGGTAATGTTAAATATAGGGGCTGAGGAAATGGGATAAGGGTAAGATAAAGTAGCTCTCTGACTTAGTAACTAACTGGTGGATGGATAAAAAGTGAATATTTGAGAAAGCAAATAGGTTGATAAGGAGAAGTGAATTAATTTGGTTTTGGTATTCATGGAGTATCCAAGAGGTTACAGGTGGTTGTATGTATTAGTCTGGAGGTTAGGAGAGCTGTCTAGACTGGAAAGAGTTAAGAATTGGCAGCTCTGAAATCCAGTTGTGCTCTTGTGTAGAACCTCTTGGCTATAAAATGGAGGAAAGGAACAAGGAGGAGAAGGTTGGGAAAGTTAACCCAAGGAGACTGCCAGGCAGATTGCTTTCTATTTCCTATATTGTAGCTGCCTATATTGAAAAATGCCTTTTCCCACACTGAATGTTTTTAGGTCATTTTGTTAATAAGCCTCCACTCAAAACACATTTATAGGGAGAATCACCCATTTGCAATAAGCATAAATTTATCTAATCTTCTGAGATTAGTCACGGAGGTTACATACCAGCTCATAATTTTTATAATGTTGAAAAAGAAAAGCAAATAGATAATTTGGGGTTTGTAAGGGATATAGGAAGTCTGAGCAAGTAGAGCAGCAGGAAGCTTCTTGTAGTTAAGATATGGGAGGATTGAGGGTATAGAGAGAAAGACACAGGGATAAGGAAGATGTCAGTGACAAACTTTTACTTGCTTGGAAGTTTATTGAAGCCAGTTTTTAAGTGTGATCTGCATCTGAACCACCAGGAGAACTAAAATGCAGATCACCAGAGCCTATCCCAGACCTAGTTGTGCAAAATCTCAAGTTGTTTTACGCACTAGAATTTAACAACCACTCTAAATCCTGCCTGCAGCCCAGGACTTCCCTCTACTTCCACACATTTAGGCTTCCTTAGAAACTTTCTCTTCTTCCTTTTTACTTGATACAGCTTTTTACTGCCAGGTCTTAAATTTATATCATTAGCAACATTGTTTAATTACTTATAAATTAAACGGCTTTGCTTTTTTTTTTTAATGGCTTAATGACTGTCTATAAAAGGTTGTAAGTGTCAAACAAATCATTTACTTCTTTAATAAGTTGGAATCAGGCCTATATACATAATTCAGAGTTTCTGGCTGCTGCATCCTGAATTAACATCTGAAATTGTTCCAAATAGATCCCATGCAATGTGGAATGATTAGTAGTTTCATAAACTAAAGTTGTTTTAAAAGATTTGTATGAAAAATAATTCAAGGTATTTTTTCTCAATTTGTCCATTTATTTTGGTGTGTTATAAATGTGAAACATTTTAAGAGAAAAGTGGTATGTTGTTGGAAGAAATTTTGCTTAAAGTATTATTACTGTACTGTATTTGAAGTTGGAATTTCTAGGATTTTGGTACTAAGAATACTAAGTGATCTGTTTATCCTTTGAAGTTTGTTGATAAATGAACTTTTCTAAAGATTAATTGAAGCTGAATTACTCTTATAGATAACCTTTTTCAAAGTTCTCCATCTGGACCACAACACACAGAAAATTATTTGAGTAACTATTTTCTCAGTTCTTCTAAGTTTGTTACATAACTGGCACCATTCTATTATATAAGAGAGAATTTTTTTTTTTTTGAGACATAGTCTCACTCTTTTGCCTGGGCTAGAGTGCCATGGCGTCAGCCTAGCTCACAGCAACCTCAAACTCCTGGGCTCGAGTGATCCTTCTGCCTCAGCCTCCCGAGTAGCTGGGACTACAGGCATGCACCACTGTGCCTGGCTACTGTTTTCTATATATTTTTAGTTGTCCAAGTAATTTCTTTCTATTTTTAGTAGAGACAGGTTCTTAGTCTTGCTTAGGCTGGTCTTGAACTCCTGAGCTCAAATGATCCTCCCAGAGTGCTAGGATTACAGGCATGAGCCACTGTGCCTGGCCAAGAGAAGTTAATTTTTTATGTTTAATGAATACCTTAAGGCAGGGATCTTCAAAGCCTGGCAAAGGATAGGTTTTATGTTTTTAAATGGTTAAAAAAAAAAAATGAAGGCTTATATTTCTTGACATGTGAAAATTGTGTGAAATTCATGTTTTACTGTCCATAAAGATTTTTTGGAGCACAGTCATGCCTATGCCTTTATGTATTGTGCATGGCTGCTTTCTCTCTACAGCTGCAGAGTTGGGTAATTGAGACAGAGATTTTATGGCCGGCAAGGCTGAAACTATTTACTGTCTGGCCCTTCCCAGAAAACGTTTGCTGACCCCTGCTGTGGGACCTTAGGACTTAAGTCTCTCACAGAACTGGCTGGAAAAGGCTTCAAGTCTAGGGAGAATTATAGTGTTTGAACTTTGTTTATTCAGAAAATTTGTTTAATTTCCAACATAGTACCAATGCTTGTCTTCCAGATTATGCCTTCCCGTATATTATATTAGTGTTATCTTTGGTTACTCTGGCTGTGTACATGTCGGCTTCTGAAATAGAGGTAGGAAGTCTTTTTTTCCCTTTGTTAAAGATTTTTTTGATAAATTTGACAATTGACTAGCATGGTATATATGATACAAACAATATGGTACAACTGATTGTTTTAGTAATTGTTGGCTAATTGAAGTCACTTGGTAGCTTTTAGCTCATTAGTTAAATTTATGAAAAGTTGAATGCTAGACTGTATATTTCCTTGGGATATTAGTGAAATAGTTAAGTGATCAGACTCAACTATTCAGCATGGTGGAGAAAAATCATTTCACATAATTTATCCACATAGCAAACATACACTTATCAAAATGTTGAAACCTATTAACACTATTTTGAGAGAAACATAAAAATGCTTTACTGTATATAGAACTAATTTTAAACTATTTTATAGTGGCAACACTATCAGAGTCATCAATAATTATATTGTATATTCTATATCCTTCTCTTTTTTATCCCAATTTTATTTTCTTGATTATGGATGTTTATGTATACCCCATAATACCTATAATATTTTGGTGATTTGGAGATGATATTAATAGCCATGTGATTCTGATACTGTTCCTTTTTCAAGGTATCCATTTTGTGCCTCTAGCTTTTTAGTGATTCAGTGGAAGGCCACTGTTATAAAGAATTATTTTTTGTTTGCTTGTTTTATTTTATATGTCTTTATTTTCAGAATACTTTTAGTAAAAAAAAAGTATATTTTGATTCATTTATAGGTCAGTGGGTAGAACAGAATGTCATCACATTTATATTTTTAAATATTTTTAAGGAGCTAAGCTGTTAGTAAAAATTTGAATAATAAATGAGAGTAATAGTATATTTGACTCTATAATTAGGGGAAAATATATTCATTAAAATTTAATCAAAATGGGCATTTTTGCACATTATTTTGTTCACATGCAATCTTCTGAAATTTTATTCCTAAAATTATGTGGCTATCTACTATTTATTTTGATGTTTTACATTTAAATGCTTGCTTTTAAATACATTAATGTCTCTGATTTAAGAACTCTTTGTTTTGAGGCTAAACTCTAAAGGGACAAAAATATAAGATGTCTCAGTACTCTTCCATCTTATGCTTGGTAATCTAGTGCCTATGAACTGTCTTAAACTGCCCACTATAATTGATAAAATATGTGCTTTCTCATAATTCTTAACGTAAAAGAGTTCAACCCAAAGAAAATAAGTTGTAAACTATTTTGGAGTACTGTTGACACCAGTTTTTCTGTTACATGAGTGAAAGAGTGAAGAAGGAAAACACCTAGACTATAGGCAGAATAATAGTGGTGGAACTAGAAAAAATGTTTTTATGGTAATTATTTAGTTCTTTCATCTCTAGACTATCCTCATTTCTCCTTTGTAATCTTTAATCTGCATTGCAATATGATTAATTAAAGAAGATAAGCAAATTAGTTTTGGTACTTTTATCAACTCTAGGGAAGGATTTGAGGGAGGAAAAGGATATATGAATAAAATGAGGTTTTTGAATTTTTGTTTGTTATCCATGGTTAGGAATGAGCTATACACTGCCAAATTAGCTTGAAACTTATTTCTCTGCCCGTGTGAATCTCTCCTCTATAAAATATTCACATACTTCAATTAGCCTCTACATATGAATCAGAAACAGGAGAAGACAGCCTAGTTCTGGGTGAGTTGAAGAGCCATTTAATGATAAGAGAAAGTTAGTAACTTATTGCATATTACATTTTTGTGTTTATTAACACATTTAGATATTACTTTTATATTAATTTGGTCTTTCCAATTTTTGCATATTATAGAGCTGTATTAAAGATTAAAAGAAAATCGGAGTATTTATGTGTCATTTCTGCTCTCTTCTAATTATTCAGGTACAGATTCCAGGAATGCTAGACGTTAAGGAAATTGGGTTTATGTACCTTCTATTTCAAATACTACCTATGACCCCATAGCTACAGTGGGCAGGAAGAAAGCATCTAATGTAATGAAGAGTTTCCCATCTAGTTTATATCTTTCAGAAGAAACTATAGTGCTTCCAGGAGTGAACGGTGGTATAGGCTAGGACTTAATACATGGGCTCTTGTCGTGGTGCTGCTGCTGTGTGCTTATGTGACATAGGAAGCCTCAATTTACTCGTCTGTAAAGTGTGGTAGCTACACTGGGTGATTTCTTAAGTCTTTTCTGGTTCCAACATTTTGCAGTTATGATTATGTGTGAAAACAAATAATACATTTTAAATGAAAATATATTGAATTATCTAGCTGATTTATCCTGATAATCTTTCTCTTTTCTTTCTTTTATACAATTATATAGAACTGCTATGATCTTCTGGTCAGAAAAAAAAGGCTTATTGTTCTGTTCAGCCACTGGTTACTTCATGCCTATGGAATAATCTCCATTTCCAGAGTGGATAAACTTGAGCAAGATTTGCCTCTTTTGGCTTTGGTACCTACACCAGCCCTTTTTTACTTGTTCACTGCAAAATTTACCGAACCTTCTCGGATACTCTCGGAAGGAGCCAATGGACACTGAATGAAAAAATTTTAAATGTCAAAAAACCTAAGAAGTGTTCTTAGTTAAAAAGTATACATGGGAACAAAATTGTCATTGTATTTTCTATTTGGGTTGTTTTGTTTTGTTTTGTTTTACTTAATAGACTTTACAGTTAGACCTGTAGACTTGGGAAAGTACAAAATACCATAATACCGTTACTTAGTATAACATTATCTATTTCATTAGAAGGAAGCACTTGCCTCTCTCACAGTTCAGTTATTCTCCAGAGCAAAATCATGTATCTGTGTACCTAGCAATGTGTTGTTCCCATTTTATTAAGAAAAACTTCAAGTATAATCTGAAATCCTTAGCAGTGGCATAACTGTGCATGCCTGTTGTGTTTCAATCTGTTTTCCACTTATAATGAATTATAAAGACAAACATACTTGTCAGGTCTTTTATCAAACATGGAAATAAAGCATATTGTTTTTTGTTATCTATTTATTTTCACCAATACAGTATTTTGATATATTACAAAAATAAAGCATAATTTATATAGCAGATTTTCTGTTTATAGATAGTTTGGTTGAAGACTTGTTCAGATTATTGTTCCTGTAGAAAAAAACAATAATAAAAAGTTTACAAAAAATTTCAATGTTTTGACCTTTAATTATTTTTTGGCACAATAATTATGGAAGTAATTCAAAATGTTAACTAGTAAGATTAGTATCTATTTCCCAAGTGAATAAATACATGTACTTATATATTCCCTACCTCTCATATCTCATTTTTGAAGGATATACATACATGCCATACTTTATTGATCCAGAGACACATTTTTTTCCACATTGTGACATCTCTGAATTGGGATGCGTCTTATAATTGATAGCTTCTTAGATTTAATGAAATACAGAATATATATATAGTATATGGACGGTTTTCTTGCAGTTGGTTTGTGATAAATGTGCTGTGATATTTATACTCTCTGAAGGCCTCACAAGACTCATCCTCACAACCATGAAAGCAAAATAAATTTTTTAATACTTAACCTAATAACCTGACCATGTTTATGCATTTGTATTGTTTAGAAGGTTACTTACTGTTTCTGCTACTTGAGATGGGGCAAGTAGGCAAAATTAGTAGGCAAATAGGGGCAAGATGGGGCAAGTAGGCAAAATTAGTAGGCCAGTAGGGGCAAGGTGGGGCAAGTAGGCAAAATTAGTTAAATCTCAGACATTTAAGATTTCTATTAGAGTAGCAAAGTATGAAAGTAAGTGCACTCACTTTTCCTGTAGTTTTGTTTATGCCTTTTGAATTCACAGCAGTTGTATCCTTGAGTTATTTTGTTACTTATTTGAGAATCTGTTTTTCCCACAAGGCGTAACTGCTGGGGCTGTTTTAGTACGACTGTATTTCTTCTTTTCTGTAGAAATAAAATTAAAATGTAAAAATTCTATTGTATTTCATACAGGTTTGGGTGGTTATTAGTGTCCATTAAAATTTTGGGTTGCCCAAAGAATCCTCAACTATATAATTGTATAATGGGGGTGGAGGTGGGATGAGGAGGGAATGGGGAAGGTGTCATGTATCTGATTACCAGGATTATATCTTCTGATCCCACTACATTTGCAGCCATTTTAACAATCATCTCAGATGTCCTAGTCTAGCAAAAAAAATTAATATATGCAAAAGGAGAAATTATGAAAGACATACAAGTACTGAAAGGCAGAGAATTTTAGGAACACTTAATACATATCTGCATTTTTAATTTGCTTTCATAAGAACAAGACTAGAAAAATTCATAGCCATTATGTTTGCTAATGTTATTAAATAATTTGTTAAAACATGATCATTAAAAATATGCAAAAACAACACTTGTCTTAGCCTTAAGTTTTGACTTATGTCCTTGTAGCACATTACAATTTTAACTGCTACAGTGTATGCTAATTGTTTTGCCAAGCAGTCCTGAATATGTAATTTAAAAGTTAATATACAGATTAAATATCCCATATCCAAAAATGTCTCAGACCAGAAGTGTTTCAGATTTCAGAGTCTTTCAGAGTTTTAGATAGTTGCATTATATTTACCAGTTCAGTATACCTAATCTGAAATGCTCCAACAGGCCTTTTTTTGGGACATCATGTTAGTGCTACAAAAGTTTCAGTTTTTGGAGCCTCTCAGATTTACCAGTTTTTGAATTAGGTATACTCAACCTGTATTTTCTTGATTAATTTGGGCCAGCTGATAAACTTGACAACTACATTGTTATATATTTGTTTAAAACCATTGGTTTTCAAGATCTGACTGCACTTTGGAACCACCTACAGAGATTATTTTTAAAACATGCCTAGGTCTAACCCACAGAGACTTACATTGATTGGTCTGTGATGCGGCCTGAGCACAGGTGTGTTTTTTTGTTTTTTTAAACCTCCAGGTGATTCTAATGTTTGAGAGCCGCTGATTAGACTCTCTTCCTAGTTCAGATCTTAATTTTTCCAAGAGCCCTTATGACAACTCCTGGGCAAATGATTTTATTATCTCTCACTGAGATTTTGATTGTGCTTTAATTATAAGGAGGTTCTGAGAATTAATGTAGATGATTGTATCACGTCCTTTTTCATCACAATAACAAAAAGATAACTTTGACAGTTTTATGAATTGATTTTTTCAAAATATTTCTTTTAAAGTATCTCATGGCCTAAAAAAGTGTTCTGTAAAGCACATATCAATTAAGATATTTGGTTAATACACAAATTACTTAATCTGTAACCTAAATTATACTATATGACATACTCAAGGACTTTTTGAATTTTAAAACAAATTATTTTTAATACTTGAAGAATAACTGCACTAAGTTACACTACACTCAGAATTATTTACCTTTGTTTACAAGGAAAATTAAGGCAAAAAGTAACAATCTTAGCTTTCGGGATGAAGCCTGGCGTTTACCATTCTGACAAGCCTATCCCACACCCTTGGCAGTTAGTTCCCCAAGCAGATCTCCACGCAGCCTCGCCGCGTGCAGTTCTCGGTCAGCTCACACCTGTGCTGCTCCTTCAGGAAGACATCCTGTGTACTCTAACATCCAATAAGACTTAAATCGCTACTTGATAGAAGGAATCCACAATCTCTTCACTTGTCTGTTTCTCACAGGGTATGGGGTTTAAGGTCTGGGGCCGGGTTTTATTCAACTTTGTCACTGCAACATCTGCTCCAGTGCAAGGCTTGGGCGCCCAATATATTAATGAAGCTAGTGCAGCGGTCCTGAAGTAGACCACAGCACCGGCAGGGCTGCAGGGATGTATTGTGGCCAGAAGAGGACGGGAGAGGGCTGCTGAGCTGGAAGAGATCCAGGGCTCCTCCAGAAGCTGTGTGGCAGAAGCAATTCACAACAGAGAACATTCAGTGCTAGGAGATTACAGGTGGCTCAGAGATGGCCAAGGAATTCAAGATGTCAAACTTTGCTATTACCTCCCCAGGAGGGTGGTACATTTCAGGTATCTGAAGAGTATGGGTCTGTTGTTTTATGATTCTTGTTACCAGTGATATTTTACAACTGGGGAAACTGAGGAGTGGAGGTTAAATAACATGTAAGAAGTAGAGCTGGGATTTGAGCCCAGGTCTACCTCGCTCCAGAGCCCACATGGTGTCAGTGCTCCAGGAACAGAAATAAGTAGCACTATGGGCAGCCAGAAATCTTCCTTCAGGTCTCAGCTCAGTTCAGAGATCTCTCCCATGATTCCTTAATCAGGTTAAGTCTCCCTTTTAGGTTCTCTCATACTTCTATGCCCCACCTTCAGTACACTTGGGACTTTATATAGATTTGTATATCAGATCCTCCTACTATACCAGGGATGAACAAGTTATAGCCTAAGAGGCAATTCTTCTACAATGGCTGAGTTGAATAGTTGCTACAGAGACCTTATGGCTGGTAAAGCCGAAAGTATTTATTATTCGGCCTTTTACAGAAAAAGTCTGCCAACCCCTGTACTAGACTGGGTTCCACTTGGGCAGGGACTATATGTGTTTCATCCACCATTGCAACCCAAGTGTCTAACGTGGTGGTTGGCACAGAATAGGCACTCAGTAAATACAGTTTTGTGTTAATAATGAAGATGGGATGGAGCCTAAAAAGCTGGAGAACTTTCAAGTATCAGTATGCCCAATTATCAACATTTCAGTGGTTGCATTTTTAAATTGAAATGCTTCTGGTCAATAATCTATTGACTGAAAGATGATTTTTGGTAAGAATATATATTTCTTCCTAAATTAAGTGACATTCTTTTCATTTTTAATGAAAATCTTACACATTGTTCATTGTATAACAGTTCATTCTTCATGTGTGGCCTAGAACAAAGAAGTCAGCCTTTATTCGCTTTTGTGTGTGAGCCTATGTGACCCTTAGGTTTTGCCATGTTGCCAGCAAGGCTCAGCCACTCTATGAGTGACCAAAGGACATAATGTCAGTGTCAACACTCTAGTTCAGGGGTTGGCAGACTTTTTCTGTAAAGGGCCAGATAAATATTTTAGGCTTGGCAAGTCATGCGGTCTCTGTCACAGACACTCTGTCAGTGTAGCACAAAAGCAGTCATATGTAATGTGTAAATAAATGAGTATGGCTATTTCAGTAAGACTTTGGACATGGAGATTGAATTTCATATAATTTTATGGTATCATGAAATATTGTACTTTTGATTTTTCTCCAATAATTTAAAAACATAAAAACCATCTCTAGCTCTGGGCCCTACGAAAACAGGAGGGAGGCTGGATTGGTCCCAGGCCATAGTATGCTGACCCCCACTATAGACAATAGACTGGGTTGGGAATCTTTACAACATATTAGTGTCCATTAAAATTCTGGTGCCAAAGAATCCTCAACTATATAATTGTATAATGGGGTGGAGGTGGGATGAGGAGGAATGGGAAGGTTCATGTATCTGATTACCAGGATTAATCTTCTGATCCCACTACATTTGCAGCCATTTTATCAATCATCTCAGATGTCCTAGTCTAGCAAAAAATTAATATATGCAAAAGGAGAAATTATGAAAGACATACAAGTACTGAAAGGCAGAGAATTTTAAGAAGAACACTAATATTCTGATTTTTAATTTGCTTTCATAAGAACAAGACTAGAAAAATTCATAGCCATTATGTTTGCTAATGTTATTAAATAATTTGTTAACATGATCATTAAAAATATACAAAACACAACCTTGTCTAACCTTAAGTTTTGACTTATGTCCTTGTAGCACATTACAATTTTAAACTGCTACAGTGTATGCTATGTTTTGCCAAGCATCCTGAATATAGTAATTTAAAAGTTAATATACAGATTAAATATCCCATATCCAAAAATGTCTGACAGAAGTGTTTCAGATTCAGAGTCTTCAGAGTTTTAGATAGTGCATTATATTTACCAGTTCAGTATACCTAATCTGAAATCTGCTCCAACGCCTTTTTTAGGGACATCATGTAGTGCTACAAAAGTTTCAGTTTTTGGAGCCTCTCGATTTACCAGTTTTTGAATTAGGTATACTCAACCTGTATTTTCTTGATTAATTGGGCCAGCTGATAAACTTGACAACTACATGTTATATTTTGTTTAAAACCATTGGTTTTCAAGATCTGACTGCACTTTGGAACCCCTACAGA